TTCATTCATTCATTTATGTATACATGTACACAAGAGCTGGGGTACAGGCCAGAGCTGTAGGGCAGTGTGAGGACTTCCCAGAGACAGAGTAGGGAGCAGAATATGGGGGCGGATTGACTGCTGAGGGGAGCAGCAGGCAAGACAGGAGAGGTCTGCTGCGCCTTGTGGGTCACTCCCTGGCCAGGGTGGAACTCGTGCTGCATTGGCTGCAGATAGGTGCATAGTGCTGAGACCCAACCCTTTGCACCACCAGGGAGACCCCAGAACATGGGTACTTGATGATATTGTTACACAACTGAAAGCACTGTCCCTGGAACCCCTTAACTCTAGATTTTTTGTGATGTGAAATGATGGATTTGAATTTTCTTTTTTTTTTTTCAAAGATTTATTTCTGCACACAGAACTGGGGTACAGGCCAGAGGCTCAGGGGTGGCGAGAGGGTTCACCAGAGACAGAGTGGGGAGCAGAACAGGCAGATCGACGAAGTACACTGCTGAGGGGAGCAGCGGGCGGGTCAGGAGAGGTCTGCCGCGCCATGTGGTCACCTCCGGGGCAGGCGGGAATCGAACTCATGGGGAAGTGGCTTTAGCTTCTTAGTGCTGTGCTTTAACCCGCTGCACCACCTGGGAGGGCTGGATTTGAATTTTCTTACTGCTTAATTGCTTAAGCTTGGTTTTTCAAAGGTATCCGAACTTATTATATCTAACAGGTTCAGGGCGCAAGGGGTACAATGCCAGACTACAACTCTTCTCCCCATTCTTGTTGTGACCTCTTCAGGATTCAGAATGCTGGGAGAGCATACTCACTGGCCAAATTTAGTTTCCTCTGGCAATATGGTAGGGAGGTGGTGATCTGGCCCACTAGCCTTCCATAGTAGGTGGCAGTCACTAAAAACTATCAGTTGAACATGCAGTAGAGAAGGGTCAACATCCAAATAGAAACTGGGGGACCAAAAGAAAGGGAAATAAACGTTGAGCATCCAATGTCCACCTTCAGTCCCAGTGAATGTCATGACTCATGTCACATTCCCTACAAAGCACCCTGTGCCTCCCCACCCCGCCCCCACCTCCTCACTGGCTCCTCCTCTGTCTCTGTAACTATGCCATTTACTCTGTCTGAAAGCCCTGTCCACCCTGTTCCACCTGCCAAAGCCCTGCTCATTGTGGAAACCTGTCAAAGGCCCTTTCCATTCAGATGGAGAGCTGGCTTCTCACCAGGAGGAAGGAGCCGAAGCGGGACTGGCCCTGGGCCACAGGCGCCTCGGGTGCAGCCAAGACCTGGCAAAAGCCTCTTCGTGTCCCAGAGTTCTGTTTTCGTTGTGGTCCTCCCATCATATCTTCTTTATTTCTCACAGCAAAATGTACTTCCATCAAATAAATCATCACAAATTATATGATTTTTCTATATAATAAAATGGGCTTACCTCACTAAAACAGCAACATAATAATTCCCAAAAACACTATTACAGCAAGATAATCACCTCTCAAACAAAACAGGGGATTTACATTTAAATTATTTCTGAAATAGGCTATCACCACTATGGCTCAACTAATAATAAGAACTGAAACATCAAAGTATAGAAACCCATATAAGGGCTTACAGAATTCTGAATACATGGGTAAATTCTTTCTGGGTGAATTTGCACACCGTACATGACTCAACATGGTCTTAATGGCTTGCACGTCAACATGTTACCTTTAAAGCAATCACTGAAAAGGTACCTGATCTCCTGCACGCCTCCTCTTGCTGTTTCTGCTCCAGGTAATCTTCCCAGCCCACCTCTCGTCAAGATGCACAGCGCTCTTTTCTGTCTTCATCTCCCACAGAAAACTATCAGTCAAGACTTCTGTGACTGGAAATGACCAAAGTCCACTCAAATTGCTTTTACTGATTCATGTAAATGAAAACTTTTGAGGGGACTTCTTATTTTAGGATCCAAATTTCCAGACTCATCAGAATCAATCCTCCTATATTTGTTAGCAAATATACTAAAACTTATGGCTTAAGACACTCTTAATGATCATTTCTCACAGTTTCTGAAGTTCAAGAATTCCAAAGCATTTTAGGGTTGTTCTGACTTGAAGTTTCAGGCCACATATCAGTCAGGGTGGCAGCAACCATTTCTGAGATGACTCATTCACATGTTGGTTGCTGGTAAGAGGTTTTCCTTTCTCCCCACAGGCCTGTGTGCTGTCCTGCTTGAATGTCCTCACAGCACGGCAGCTGCCTTCGCCCCGTGCAGGTGATCCAAGCAAGAAACCACAGCAAGACATGCAATGCCTTTTGTGACCTGAACTTGGAAGTCAAGCACCATCACTTCTGCTGTATTCTATTAGATACACAGAACTGCTGTGAATCAACATGGGAAGAGACAATAAAACACGTGAATTCCGGGGAGTGAGGCTCCCACAGCATCCTTCCATCTTTCCTTTCCCATTGTGTGGCCCCCTTCTCAGGCAGGTCCTTCCCAAGCAGTGGCAGAGATGGCCATCATTCTTAACAACCTCAATGGAAAGAAGGCATCCCTTCCCCCAAAGTTTTGGCAAAAGTCCCAAGGCTGACACTGATTGGCCAAAATGTATATGCCTGAGTTAAACCCCACAGGTCTATAGATACTATATTCTGATTGGCCAGACCTAGGCCACACATTCCCAGTTTTAGAACTGAATGTAGATTTGCCATCACTAGAGATACTCGTGGGAGGAAGTAATGAGGATTGATCCCCAATGGTGAAATTAGGGTGCTGTCACTATTGAAAACTGTTTGGAGGTTCCTAAACTGTTAAAAATGGAGCTTCCATAAGACCCAGCAATCCCACTCCTAGGCATCTACCCAAAAGACACAAAAACACTTATTCTCAAAGACACCTGCACCCTCATGTTTATGGCTGCTTTATTTACAATAGGAAAGAGATGGAATCAACCCAAATGCCCAAAAGTAGATGACTAGATTAAGAAGATGTAGTACATATACACAATGGAATATTACTCAGTGATCAAAAAGATAAACACATGCCTTTTACAGCAACATGGATGGAGCTGGAAGGGCTCATGCTTAGGGAAAGAAGCCAGAAAGATAAAGAAAATACTGATGGGTTTCACTCATAGCAGAAGCATAAAGGACATGAGGGGGGAAAAATAATGAACAACTATATTCAAGAGACATTTTGCGGGGGTGGAGTGGGGAATGGGATCAAAAATGGGGGGGAAAGGAAGTGCACAGGACTATGGTGATGGCACACGGGTGACTTGGTGATGGGAAATCCATGGGGATTACAACTGAGATGAAAAAATATATATACAAAATGATGTAAAAATAAACTATTATATTTTTAAAAAGATGTGGTACTTATGCTCAATGGAATATTACTCAGTGATCAAAAAGATAAACACATGCCTTTTGCAGCAACATGGGTGGAGCTGGAAGGGATCATGCTTAGGGAAATAAACCAGAAAGAAAAAGAAAAATACTGGATGGTTTCACTCATAGCAGAAGCATAAAGGACCTGGGGGGGGAATAATGAACAACTATATTCAAGAGACATTTTGTGGGGGTGGAGTGAGGAATGGGATCAAAAATGGGGGCAGGGATAAGTGCACGGGACTATGGTGATGGCACAAGGGTGAACTGGTGATGGGAAGCCCATGGGGATTACAACTGAGATGGAAAAAGCCACAAAATGACGTAAAAATAAACTATTGTATTATTTTTTTAAAAATCAGGGTATTGTGGCCCTCCCAGGTGGTGCAGCGGGTTAAAGCACAGCACTAAGAAGCTAAAGCCACTTCCCCATGAGTTCGATTCCCGCCTGCCCCGGAGGTGACCACATGGCGCGGCAGACCTCTCCTGACCCGCCCGCTGCTCCCCTCAGCAGTGTACTTTGATCATCTGCCTGTTCTGCTTCCCCTCTGTCTCTGGTGAATCCTCTCACCTTCCGCATCTCTGGCCTGTACCCCAGTTCTGTACGAATAAATAAATAAATCTTAAAAAAAAAAATCAGGGTATTGTTACTAACCAAGGTATTAGGCAGGAAAAACAAAACAAGTCCATCTTGTCTCCCTCACTGGTATGCCAACTGCATATTGTATTACCCCATGAGATCATTTGCTTTCTTTTCTCACTTTATGTGGTAGGTAGAAATCTAAGATGGCCCCTGAGGTCTCACCCACCAGTATATGCATACTTTCTCCCAGCTGTTCAACCAAACTCTAATCTATACTTCAGTGAAAGAATGCTGTGATATAATTAAGGTCCCAAATCCATTGACTTTATAATAGGGAGATGATTGGTGGTGGGCCTTACCTAATCAGGTGAGCTCTTAAAAATGATGGGGCTCTTCCTGGCAAAGGAGAGGAGAACACAATGTGGGGGAGAATGGACCTATTTGATAACCAATAGAGACAGGGACCTCAGTCCTACAAATGCTGAGAACTGAATTCTGCCATGAACTTGTGAGTAGATTTTACCCCAGGGCCTCTAGAGAACTCAGCCTTGATCTCAGTTTTGTGAAACCCCAAGCATAGAAAACCCAGTCATGCAGGACCACACTTACAACCTACAGATTTATGAACTAATAATGGGGAACTGCTTTAAGCTGCAATAATTTTTAAGCAGTAATAAAAAACGAGTACACTACCCCCAGGATTCTAAGATCTCAAAGTAGGGAGATTCTCCAGGATCACTTTAACCTCCTCATTCCCAAAGAACCCTTAAAATAAGAGGGTTCCTTTTACCTGCTTCCAGCTCCTTTATCTAGAAATGAGATGGGGTGAGGGAATCCTGTTCTTCATCATTCCACCCCTATCTTCCAAACCCCAGCTCTCCTGCTTTAGGGGGCCTGCCAAGGAAGCTGTTTTGCCTGGCTTTCTACAACTAGCCTGTGCCCCACCAGGCTCAGGAGGGCAGCCTGCCCAGTCTCTGTTCCCCTGGCCTTAGGGACCTTTGACCAACTCAATTGATCTGGACTCTTTAGCAGGCGCCTGGACCAACGGACCGACGCCATGAAGGATCTGCTTTTCCTGGGGTTCCTGCTGGTGAATCTGGATTCAGCGCTGCTGGTGAGGACAGTGGGAAACAGAGGCTTGTGCCGGATGGTGCTGGGGGCCTTAACACAACCTTGGCCTTTGGCTATGAGCTGTGGGTCCAGGGACCTAGAAAGTCTGTTTGCAAAGTGAGGCCAGTCCACAAGGCTCAGGCAGCAGGGTAAGGTTGCAAGTGCTGGTGGCTATGAGACATAGCCTATGATTATGGGAGAGACAATGGGAGGAGGAAGATTGTGTTCTGGTTTTATGAGGAAGTCTCTGCTCTTTGGGCCTGTGAGAAGAACTGGGAACTTCTATGGGATCAGGGGCTGGTTATGACTTTCTGAACAAATTGCCTGTGTTCTCTTGCCCTCCCCCCCCTTGTAGTCTCGATCTTGGCGAGCCCACAGGGAGCATAAGCAGGTAGCGGGTGAGCCCACAGTGGGTAAGTAGCCTGACTGCCTCCTAAGATACCCTTGGCAAGTGGCTCTGGCTGGGGCCGGCAAATGGTTGATCCCACCCCTTTGACCTCAGCAGGGGACATATGCTGGGCTTTTCACTGCTCTGCTAATGTGTATGACTGAGCATGAAGGCACCTGGAGTATTGGTTTGGGGGTTACAAATAAATGATAGCAAGAAGCAGATTTACAAATACAGAAGCTATAAATGATGGTCAATTGTCTTATTTTAAAAAATAGTGAGAATAGTCCATTTTTACGGTAAGAACGTTAGGAATTACAGAAATGCAAATAAAGAAAGAAATCTGCTACAATCTACTTTCTTCCAAACACCACTTATAAATTTTGAAGACTGTCCCTTCTTTTTGATGTGATAGGACCAGACTGACACATTACTTATAACTTACTCTTCATCCTTTTTTTTTATTTTAAAGTTTATTTTATTTATTTATTTATTTATTTAATAAAATTTTTTATTTTTACATCATTTTGTACATTTTTTTTCCATCTCAATTGTAATCCCCGCAGGTTTCCCATCACCAAGTCACCCATGTGCCATCACCATAATCCCGTGCACTTCCCTCCGCACCCCCCCGTTTTTGATCCCATTCCCCACTCCACTCCTGCAAAATGTCTCTGGTATATGGCTGTTCATTATTCTTGTTATTTTCTCACCTGGTCCATTATACTCCTGCTATGAATGAAACATCCGGTATTTTTCTTTCTCTTTCTGGCTTATCTCACTAAGCATGATCTTTTCCAGCTCCATCCAAGTTGCTGCAAAAGACATGTGTTTCTCTTTTTTGGTTGCTGAGTAATATTCCATTGTATATATGTACCACATCTTTTTTATCCAGTCATCTACTTTTGGGCATTTGGGCTGCTTCCATGTTTTTGTAATTGTAAATAAAGCAGCCATAAACATGGGGGTGCAGGTGTCTTTGAGAATCAGTGTTTTTGTATTTTTTGGGTAGATACCTAGGAGTGGGATTGCTGGGTCGTAGGGAAGCTCCATGTTTAGCAGTTTGAGGAAACTCCAAACAGTTTTCCATAGTGGTTGTACTAGTTTGCATTCCCACCAGCAGTGTCGGAGAGTTCCTTTTTCTCCACATCCTCACCAACATTTGTTGTTGCTAGTTGTTTGAAGATGTGCCATTCTCACTGGGGTGAGGTGGTATCTCATTGTGGTTTTAATTTGCATCTCCCTTATTACGAGTGATGTTGAACATTTTTTCATATGTTTGTTGGACATCTGCATTTCCTCTTTGGAGAAGTGTCTTTTTATTTATTTGTGTATAAAGAACTGGGGTACAGGCCCGAGACTCAGGGGCGGCAAGAGGCTTCACCAGAGACAGAGTGGGGAGCAGAACAGGCAGACTGATGAAGTACACTGCTGAGGGGAGCAGCGAGCGGGTCAGGAGAGGTTTGCTGCACCATGTGGTCACCTCCGGGGCGACAGGAATTGAACTCTTGCTGAAGTGGCTTTAGCTTCTTAGTGCTGTGCTTTAACCAGCTGAGCCACCAGGGAGGGCCCCAGAACCCAAGCTCTTAAGCAAACACTGATTTGAAAACACAAAGACATTTTGAGGGTCCATCCTTCTTCCATCCAGACTCTGAGGGGTGGTACCTGGGCAGTGGGTGCTGGGAAAGTCACCAGAGAGTGTGTTATCCCTGCAGTTCTCACCGTTACTGGGGAACCCTGCCACTTCCCCTTCCAGTATCACCGGCAGCTGTACCACAAATGCATCCACAGGGGCCGGCGGGGGTCCCGGCCCTGGTAAGTCTACCTAGAAGGAGTGAAAGGAGGAACCGTGTGAAGATGGTCTCTTTCTATCCTTCTGCCCAAGGAACCCTGCTTGGAAGGGGTAGGGGAAGACAAGGGAGGATGGGTTAATACCTGGGCAGAAAAAGAAGGCCTCATCTCTCTACAGGTGTGCAATCACCCCCAACTTCGAGCAGGATCAGCGATGGGCATACTGCTTGGAGCCCTCGCACGTGAAAGGTGTCACACATTGCCCTTTGGGGTGGCCCAGGGCTGTCCCCCCTAGCCCTCCCACCACCCCACATCCTGTTAATCTCATGAGTATTATCAAACCACACACCCAAGATTCATCTGGCCCCTTGCTCTCCAGGGGGAGGAATTCTGGGAGGGGTAGCTCCATTTTGCAGGTGGGTAAACTTGGAAACCCTGGATACCAAGGTTCAGGTAGGGTCCTGGTACCATCTGTCTGACTAAGGTTCCCCAATCTTTCTTTCCACTGTGTCCATCTCTCAGATCATTGCAGCAAAAACAGCCCTTGCCAAAACGGAGGGACCTGTGTGAACATGCCAGGTGGCCCACACTGCATCTGTCCAGAAAGCTTCACCGGCAAGCACTGCGAGAGAAGTGAGGCGATAATGAGGGCTCCCGGCAAGGGGCGCTAGGGAACAGAGGCAGCCCTGGATCTACTGAAAAGGTCGCTTTGCACAATCCCAGTCGCCTGATACCACAGCTCCCTTTACCTAACCCCCAATCCCCTTTGTCCCCAGAGAAATGTTTTGAGCCTCAGCTTCTCAAGTTCTTCCAGGAGAAGGAAGTATGGCACAGAGTGGAGGCAGCAGGTGTGGTTAAGTGTCAGTGCAAGGGCCGCGGTGCCCACTGCAAGTCACTGCTCAGCCAGGGTGAGTGGAGGGGA